AGCATGGCTGGCTGGGGAATTCTGGGAGTTGAAGTCCACCCGTCTTAAAGTTGCTAAGGTTGAGAAACACTGTATTAGATTTATTCATTGGAGGAGGATGTCAAACAGATGAGCTTAATACTGGCTGAGTTCACAAAGCAAAGTCAAACAAACCATATTATGGCTTTGCAACTTGCATAAATTCGGCTGTTGGATCAATCCACAGATCTGTTTCCCCCCGTATTGTTTATTGGCACAGTTGTTTTGGTTTTCAAACAGAATATTTCTTATCCACTCGAAGACTTCAACATGCACATGTTTTCTGTCCACAAGCTACACCCCTTGAATATCTTGATTCTTAGGTTATACTTAAAAACAGAGTTATTATTGTCCCTCTTATTCAACGAAGAAGACATTCTTGCATTTACATGCAGTGCAGCCTAATGAAAGCTGGTTGTGATATTTAACCAGAAACATTGTGTTTATTACAATTGTGAAGTTTGTTCTCTTGTGATGCTCCCCCACATGGCTACTCTGCCCTGGAAGCTGTAAGTCATAAGGAGATCTCTTTCTCCTAATGGGATATCAATAGATTGAAAAGCACTGTGTAGTCGTGGCATTCCTAAAGATATCAGCAGAACAATCCCATGTATTTATTGCAACTATCTCACAGGCAGCTTAATATGAGCCATGTTGGAAGTGCTGCAGTTATCACCATACCTACAATATTTACTTGAAAATTACTCTTACACATGAAAATGCTTGATATAGCTTTCCAAAATATTGAAGGAGAAGATTTTAATTTACTGCTAACTAAGCCTTAAGTTTGTGCCACCAGTTTAAAAGTTTATTTTGAGCCATAACAGTAAATAGGCATAAACAGAAGTAACAATCTAGATTTAATAATATTCTTGTTAGAATTGTATTAGCACATCACCTGCTATCTATCTTGGAACAAACAAACATCTGATACTTCATGAGAAATAGCACTGATCTGCTCAAGAGTAGATTAAAAGATTCTTTTTTGCTGTGTTAGTCAAATGCACAATTTCTGCCTTCTGTTACATGATAATTATGTTCTGCCTGTCACTCAGAAAACCAATTAACACCAATTAAAGCTATGATACAATTTAAAATGGAGTTAAAGTGATATAGAAATGTTTGAATCAACTGCCCAAATATCTGGAGTTTTGTGTGGCATAAAGATATTGCTAAATATTGTTTGTATCAAATTAAGCAACAGTGTAATGATCTGTTCAGAATCTGAGAGTGACATTCCTGCTACTCTGACCTTCCTCTCTTATCAACTAAGAGAACAGCCTCCTCCAGTTTACCTGCAGGCCTTTACTAAAAGATTGAAAAAGTCTCTGCCCTAACTGAGGGGTCTATGGGGTTCTAAAACTGAACGCTACCCAGTGCTAAGCTTTTTAAACTTTATCTTATCCTCTTCAGTAAAACTCTCAGGGAGAATCTTGTCTTCTGTTGAAACAGGCTGCAAAGAAACTGACTGTAGGAAAGAAAAAAATTACTCCTGAAGCATTAAAAACATTTTGCATAAAATTCACATGAAACAAACGAGAAATTCAGATACATATTTAAATACATGTAAATGGATTATATCTTTTAAGCTACATGGATCCTCATTACAGTATAGTTTGATAAAAATTAACCAGGAAAGTATTAACACTGTACAACAAATACAAGGAATCCATTCTAATGAGACTTTAAAACAAACGGGATTGTAACTGGTGGTGCAGTGGAGAATATATGACAGTATACTAGTGGTGTACTGGAGAAAAAGCCTGTTCAGGAAGGGATATATTATTTAGATTTTGTCTGAGGAGAAAAGAGACAGCATTTAAAAAATGGCATGTCAGCTGAGAAAGATAACTAAGGGTTAAGGAGAAGGTTTCACAACAACTGAGAGAGAAGGAATGTGTGGGTATGTACACCTGGTGCCTCTATTTTTTGGCACCATGTCAAGCTATTTTTATTTGTCAAGGTTCTTAAAGCATTATTTTTAAATGTTTTATTTCTGCTGGATTATTGATGTGAAATCTGGATTTTTGTTTGCAGGCACTACTTCTGGGCAGAAAAATAAAACTTCAGTAAATAAATAATACTTTACATGAGGTCTTGTCATGTTACCAGTTTTTTGGATTTCAAATAAAAATAAAGGGATGGTAGGACAAGACTAGAGCATATGGATGTTATAACTCCTATTTTGTATCTCCGACAGCAAGACTGCCACCAACCTTTACAGTATTATTCTTTTAGGTATCCAGAATACCTCAAATATTTCTTTCTGGAAGTATAATTTTATTTTAAAATCAAAATATTTACAAAATCATGTAAATAGTATCCATTTCATCAATTTACTATAAAAATAGATAGCTGGTTTAGGAACCTCAACTGATTCCTCCAAACTATGGAAATTCAAAAGCAGCAAGAGCACTGGGACTAAATAATTAAAATAGCAACCGCTTAAGGTAAATGATCTGCTAAGAAGTATACTTAGGTAAGTTGAACGTAAGAGTCTCCAAACCATAAAGGAGAATTGAGGGTAGTATGATGTAGTATTCAGGAACAATTCAATCAGATGAAATTTGGCAAGTCCTTTGTTATTTTTTTCTGTTAGAGAATAAAGCTATGATACTTGCAACTCTTGATCAATCAGTAGTGTGTTTAAACAATGTTGAATTGATACAATTTTTATTCCAGCCTTATGCTAGGACAGAATTGACAACTTCCTTGCCCTTAAAAGGAAGGAAGAGTAGGATGAAGTGTAGTGACTGACCCACGATCTAAGATTAGCTTGTGCTATTGGACTGATAGATTAGTTTTTAACCATGATTTATTGAACAAGCAACTATATTTGCACAACATACTGACCCAGAGTTTATTGATTTACCCCAAACTGCCTGCCTCCACACAACATAGTCAACAGATAATTTCTAGGTCCAGTGTGCTATACAGATCCTGATTAACTGAAGAAGCAAAATCCCCACTGAGTTCTTCAAGGAAACAAGGTTGTCTTTAAAAAAGACTTGCAGCATAAAACTCTGATTGGCTGTTATGTTCAAGCCACACCTACTTCTGCTTGCCCAACCAATGAGAAAGGAATATCAGACAGAACTGGAGGAAGAGGGAAGGGATTCCGTATTCCTTTGTATAGTATCACTAAGGGTACTTATCTTACCAATGGCTATGACTGAGTGAGTAGCTGTCTAGATAAACAAGACAAACTATCTACCCACACTTCAATCTGTGTGTTGTGCAAATCCAGCCACAGATGACTGGTTTGGACATTATATAACTGCATATCATAGTTTATACACACAATAGTATGATTGACACATAATGCTTAAGCCAAAATCAAACTGTGGTATGACTTACCATGTTACATCTGAACTACATTGCACCCTCACATAGTTCCATTTTAATCAGAGTTTAAAATCTCTCAGAGCCACTTACTGGTGGAAACAGGAGTAAAATCAGTCGATCTGCCTTCCTTAATCTGGTGCATTCTTATGTTGGTTTTTGATTTCTATCAGGTTGTGGGGAATGACAGGGGTTGTAGTCCACTATAACTGTCTTGGGGTAACAATGTGGAATGTTAGTTGGAGGATTGACAGTGATGGCTGGCCAACTCAGTTTCCTATCTCCATTCAAAATGCTTCTATGAGTCACAGGTAACCACTAAACTAAGCCAACACTTAGCCAACTAGTGATGTATTTCAGTTGCTAACCAGATCTAACCCAATTACAAGGCTAGCCCTGAGCATGTGAATAAGCTGAAGTCAGAAAGCATGGCAGATGGTATGGTGCGTCTTTCTTCCCCTTTCCTAGGACTTAGGCCGTTGGTCTCCTAACCATGATCCAAATAAGTCCTGCTGTAACAGCTCTCTTGGGCCGCTTCCCAAAGGGAAGCGCTCTGGAAATGTAAAGGCTCGTCGTTCGAAACATCTGGGAAAGAACAGCAGCTGCCGCGCGTCGAGGCCATGCGTAAAAAGCCTTCGACAGCAGATCCATGAATACGATAATAAAGGCACGGGGAGGGGGCTGGCTGAGAGAAAGGTAAGGGCTCAGCTCGTAAATCCCAGTCGCGATAAAGATCAAAGCGCCACCCTTCCCGCAGGCGCTCCGCTGCTGCCGCCGAATAAAAACGAAGCAAAACAAGGAGGTCGTCGCCTGTACTTTGGCCTCCGCTCAGCTATGCGGAAGGATAGTGAACGCGACGGGGGGAGAACGACATCGCGCAGCGGGCAGGAGGAAGGGAGCAGCAGCGACCCCCCAAGCTCACCCCGCAGGCGGGACGCGTTACGTGTTACGTATCTAGCGCGCCCCTTTGCGTTTCCCCCAATTGTTACTGTGTAGGCGAAGTCGCACCTTTAGGCTTTAAAGAACGGACGAGCCCATCCAAAGGGAAACTTGAGGCGTTGTTGAGAAGATTGGAGCCACCTCATTCCCCTTCCCTAAGTCTCAGCTTTTTGGGGGGGGGGATGCAGCTTCTCTCCAAAGGAGAGAAACTTCCACGGAAGAAATGCGTCACAGGCCCCCCCAACGGCCCCTCTGCCTTTCTCTGGCAACCCGCCTCTTACCTGCGGGAGAGCGCCCCCCTTCCACCGGGGAAGGCGGCAGGGACAATTCCGGATTTGCCATAAGAGTCCGGCGAAAGAGCACGCGATCTCACTACTATGTAGCGCTACTACTAGCCCTAGCACGTAGGTCGCTGCGTTGCTTTTTTATTGGGAAAGCGGGGCGGTGCAGCCCAAAGAAAGGGGCGGGAAAGAGGAAAGCTTGGCGGAGTTTCAGAAAACTTTGGGACGTGCTTTATAGAGACTGAGGAGAAAGCGAAGGAGAGACTAGGGTAACACATCCTGCTTACAAAAGGTTTTTTTACAAGCCAAAATTGACTGAGCCATGTTTGATTGGGGTTTTGAGTAGCGTGAGAATCTCTTTTGAGATTCTCACGCTACTCAAATGAAAATTATGCTTTTCATTATGGTTTATTGTGGGTTGTTAGGTGAACCCAAAAGGTGGTAGCCACAGTTCTAAGTAAGGCTAGTTTGACATCACTCTCTGCTTCCTTCTCGTCTTCACCTAACCTGATGACTGGGTTGATGGATCACACCAAGCCATAGTGTTTTGTTGTGTTTGGTTTAGGTTTGTGTGAACTGAACCATGCTGGTTTGTTTGGTAAACCTTGATTAAATTGTAGCTGTGAACCCAGTCAATAAAAGAATACATGTGTCTAGGCAGAAGAAAGTAAACTAAGCCACCATTTATCTTCCCTTTTCCATTGTATAAAGAGAGAAATGTATGAGCAGGCAAGAACACAGCAATCTAAGATAACAAGTTAGTCTTCATAGCATGTTTTAGAGGTTTTTTTTACTGTGCTGATACAGCAGGAATAGTCCAGTCTTAGGAATCACTGGGAAATGATCCCCTTTGGGAATCTGGTAAAGCCTACAGATTCCCTCTCAGAAAAATGTATTTAGATACACAAAGTAAAATACATTCAAAGGAAACCAATTATACTCAAATACAGTTATCAAAGTATTACAAAACATAAATATGTGATATAGGAATGTGTACCCTCTATTAATCCATTAAATTAGTAACAGCATCTTTTTTGGGGGGTATAATAATTTTAGATAAGATTTACTGAAATTAACCAACATTTCCAAGTCTCTTTTTGTGTTGCTGAATGATACATTTTCCTAACAAGGAAAGCCTATTCTCCTACAGCAGAAAGGAGCACGCTATAATGGGGGGTCTCCTACTGCAGAGGCGGGGCTTAGAAAAGTTCTGATGTTCCTTCCTGTGGGATGGGATAGCTCTTCCCCAGTTTTGGAGTGGCAAGGCAGAAAAAAAGGACAGAGAAAAAATATTTGAGAAATGTGGGAGTAATGGAAAGCTGTGGAGATGGGGCCCCATTATATTTTCTTCCTCTTTTTTGATGATATTGAATGCCCTGATTCTGCCATAGTAGAAGGCCTTCACCTTCATTGTAAGTGAGAGAGAGCAAGCAAGAGAAGGTAAATAGCATCTACTACTTTCTCTTGCCAGTATAATTATTTCCCAGGACACAGTCCAAAAATGGCAAAGCTGAAAAGAGGGGCTATCCCATGGAGGGAGAGTCCTTTTTCCCCTGTTCTTTTCCAGCATCTGCTGAGAAGACAAAGGTAAGGAAAGAATATTATTAATAGCTTATCCTTATCCTACTGTATAAGCATACTTTTTCAAGTGCTGCTTAGCATCAAGGATAGTTACGTGTTTATCAGCAGCTTCGAATTTCAGGCAGACTTCCTTCCTCACCTTGTAATTCTCGCTTGATAATTTAAACCCTGAAAATATAGAAAACTGTCCAACCAGACCAAATTCATCAGTTCCCAGAATTTCATTGTTTTTGACCTAACTGCCTAAGGCAACTCCCAACTGGATTAAGACTATGATTTAGCCTTAAGTGCTTTAAGCTCACATACTCGCTTTCTCCAGTATTCACTGGCCTAAAGTAGGACATTCAGTATTTTTACACACTTTTTCCACCTGTTTTATTCTTATCTCTAAACAGTTTCAGCTTACTGGAAATGTAATGGATCTTAATGGTTTAAAAAACAAAGTGAAAATCAGAAATCACTGTTTCAGGTTGTCCTGTTTTATCACACACACTAGTAGATAAGATTAATCATAGATTGTCCACGTTTGGACATAAGGCATCTCAACACAAGGTCTCTTATACGGTTCAGAACCAGCTACAGGCATGTTGGATCTCGCAGTGTCAACTGTTTTGGGAGATAAATGATTAATTTCTTACTCTGGCCAGATTAGTTGAAACCAGATCAAACCTAGGTCTTCACTTTGCAGCAGTGCACTTCTGCAGAGCTTCAACAGCTTTCAAAGCCGCCTGCTGACCATGATGACTGAAAACTGACAGTGCCGTTTCCTGACCTTTTGAGTTGGAAAACAGAGAAACCCTGTAATATAAGTCCTAAAATAAACAAACCACTGCTCCAAAACTCTCAGCCGAATTTCAGTCTTGCCCACACATGTGATCTGGCTCCACCTATTCTGCAGACTTCCAGGTTCCAAAAAGCATAGTATTAAGTACAGCCTTTTGTCCCCAGCAAGTTGCAGACTTGGCTCTTAATGTTTCTGTTGCTCCAGAGTACGTCTGGTCTCCAGGATCCAAGCTGGGATGTCCGAGTAAACCTGAACTCAACTTTTGTGTTGAAAATCCACCATTACTGGGGGCAGCCTATTGTATTTATTTCTTATTGGGGAAATTTTTAAAGAAGGGCTGTGCCACTAGGAAAAAACTATGCCCTCTCATTTCTATAACATGTGCTGCTCCTCTAAGATCTATAAAATGCGCACAGTTTCTAGTAATTGCAGTTAAGTTATACTGCTTTGGAAGCGCATTTAGGATGCAAGGACTTGTAAAAACTCAAATGGGAAGCAATATCTATTTGGCATGTGATTACTTTGAGCTCCTGTAGACATGCATAAACAAACTATAAATGACCCTCTCGCTCAAAAACAAAAAGAAGCAAAGCTGTAAGCCTCCAGTGACCTCGTTCCAAAGGAAATCATGTCTGGATAATGCTTGCACTTGTTATATTTTCAAGGCTGGAAAACAGGATTATGAGAAATACAACAATAGGTGTCAAGGCTAGCCTGCCTTTTTGCCTAAAATCCTGGTTATTTATTATGTTAGTGTTTAGGGAGATTTGGGAGTGCGTAAAAATACTTTTGTTAGTGCTCACATACAAATTTCAGTTCCTAAATAGTTGTGCAAAACAGCCTGGGAAGGACTATGAACTTAAAAAGCAGCTCGAAATGGGTTGAATTGACAGAAGCAAAACAGCTGCTTAGATGAAAGATACCAGCCATTGCTGGGTGTGCAGGAATTGCAGTTAAATACCATTAGATCTGTTTGAGAGAGAACATTTGTAAAATGAAATAAAAACTTTTGTGCAGCACAATTGTGGAAGAATGTAAGCAATTTGAATGTTAATATATGTTTTAGCATAGAGCTCCTGATCCTAGCAAGAGTTTTAATGCAGCAGCCATTAATTAGCCAGCTTGTAGCCTAGCTGTATGTCTGTATTAGCAGTTAGCTTTCAAGAGGAAGTTGGTTAGACAGTTAGAACTAGTACAAAGTTGTGGTTTGACATTTAACAGTTGTGACACAACATAGAGAATCTATTTAAACTTGTTGCCTTTTTATAATCAATTTGTAACCAATCCTGTTATACTCCTGTAGTTCCTTGTTGCTCAATCATAAATATAGGTAGTCCTTATTGAACATCCACTCTCATTCAGCAACAGTTCAAAGTTATGATGGTGCTGAATGAGGGGGAGTTACGATGGGTCCTCATAGTTGTGGCCATCACAGTGTCTGCAGTCATATGATTGCGATTCAGGAGCTTGGCAAGTGGCTTGCAATTACAATGTCACAGCATCCTGTGATCACGTGATTGCCATTTGCGACTTTCACTGCTGGCTTCTGACAAGCAAAGTCAATGGGGAAGCCGGCAGGAGGTTGCAAATGATGATCACATGTCGTCATCAGTGCAGTCACATTACAACTGCATTGCTTAGCGATGGAGTTGCAAGTCCCAATTACCATAGTTAAGTGAGGACCTCCTGTACACCCTATTTCCTCTGTTTTGAGGTCTTGTCCATGGAGTGTTACTGAACATGTCCTCGTGTGCTTGGCCTGGCACAGAACTGTGGTGTCCTGCTTGAGTGGAGAAAATGAACCTCGTCTTGTCCCTGTGGGGCTAAATGAGAAGGGATACAAACTTGTTAAGTCATAAATGGGATGAAAATGAATTCAGGAATTTTATCTTACAGATTTTTCTCCAACACAGTCATATGTAAGCTTGTTTGGCAGTCAATCCTAGAATGTTCACTGGGCCTTTTTTCCAGTTAGGTGTATTTTTCTTTCTCCCTTCTGCCTGATTAAAAGACAAACAATTCCTATTCCTATATGCTTTCATATCTATATATTTAATGCATAATAGCAAACAGGATTTGGACTGGCTCATTATACCTTAAGGACCAGGATCCCCTGTGTCTCTCTATCCAGACTTATTTTATCTAAGCACATTGGAGATAAAGTGTGAAATGGCTTTGTAAGGAATTTAGGGTGCCACTGAATAAATAATAACTTACAGTTGCTGTGAACAAATTACATTAATGCCAAAACACTTCTTTCTGGAATTGCTCTCCTAATTAAAACACTTCATTCTAAGTTACGATGCCTTGTCTCCTGTCAGTTTTGCAAAGAGCTAGTCAATAGCTTGTTTTAGGAATATGCTAAAATCCTCATTATAGGAAAGCTGCTTTGGGTTTTGCCTGTCGTGAGGAATTTCACCTTAATTGTTCTTGTGTTGGTACTTGTTCTATGATCATGATGGGCATAGCTATTTCTGCCAAGCTGTATCGTTACACAATAGCCATTAAGAAGCATCATCATACAGTTAAAACACAACACAGAAAATAGTTTAGCGTGTGTGGGGGTGTATTCCCACTTCCATTGTACTCCTAGAGGCTTACTGTCTACTAATACTAAATTCCTGGGTTACAGTCTCTGGGAATTAACAATACATACACTTTCCAGGGAATAAATCAAACTAAACACACATTTTATATTTTCTGTAAATCTATACCTTCAACTCTTAATCTATTCATGATTACTTTGTTCTGTTCCAGTACAATCTAACCATCTTCCCTCAGAAATAATCCCACAGTGA